TCTCCGTATGCTACAATCGACAATGTTTGGACTTACCGAGAGGAACTAACATGTTCTAGGTGCCAATCCAGTCACATCCCGTCTCAGAGTAGCACTCGTCGAAGCTCAAGACCTCTCCAAGATCCGCGCGTGGAACCTCCCGGCCGACAAGTTTTCGAATCGATGCAGTTCCCTCACCCCGACCTCAGCACAATACCTCAATACGATTGGAGCATGGAGCCACATTAAGCGTAACCGTGTCCAAGATTACAACGAAATGCAGGTTTGGGATGGTGTGAGCGGCGCAAGAATCGAATTCGACTGGCCAGCGGGATCGGCGCCGGGGAAGACAATCGCCTACATGTGCGAGAACCTCAATTTGACCTCTGGTCTCCTCAGGCGCCTGGAGGAGCTTGGCGGAGTCTCAGTATTCGACAATGCAAAGGTCGAGAATATCAGCTTCGGAGAGGAAACGGAGGACTTGGACCTGACGCAATGGCCTGTTGTCCACTTGTCAGGCGGAAAGCAGCTCCACGCAAGACTGCTGGTCGGAGCTGACGGCGCGAACAGCCCAGTGAGGACCTTTGCCGGCATAAAGGCGCAGGGCTGGGACTATGGCAGACATGGCGTTGTTGCGACGCTTCAGCTGGAGGGTGAGGGATGGGGCGGGGAACATAACAAGATCGCCTATCAGCGCTTCTTGCCCACTGGCCCTGTGGCAATGTTGCCGATGCCTGGGAACTACTCGACGCTGGTATGGTCAACAACGCCTGCCAATGCCGCGCTCTTGAAGAGCCTCTCGCCGAAAGACTTCATTTCCATGGTCAACGCTGCCTTCCGACTGAGCCCTGTTGACCTGGAGTTTATGCACAAGCAGGAGTCTGGCCAGTCTGAGGAGGTTGCTTGGAGGCTGGGGCATACTCCTTTCGATCACCGTGCGATTCCTCAGCAGGTTGTTGGAGTCCAGGAGGGCACCGTTGCGTCTTTCCCGCTCAAGATGCGACACGCAGACACTTACACTGCCGAGCGCATCGCCCTTGTTGGCGACGCAGCACACACTATCCACCCCCTAGCCGGGCAAGGCTTGAACCAGGGTCAGGGAGACGTTCAAAGTCTGGTCAAGACTATTGAGACAGCCGTTTCCACCGGCCAGGACCTGGGAACGACACTTTCACTTGAGGCGTACAATGCGGAGCGTTACGTTGCGAACCACATCGTGCTGGGCGTATGCGACAAACTTCACAAGCTGTACTCTGTAGAGAGCGGGCCCCTCGTACCATTGCGATCTCTAGGCCTTAGCGCCGTGAATGCTCTGGGCCCCTTGAAGAAGTTCTTCATGGACCAAGCCTCAACTACTGGCGCCAAGCTCTTTTAGAACTTGTACATTATGTATTTCAACCCCAAAATGCTGTATCACCAACCCAAAAAGCCGGACCTGCGTAAAGAAGTCAGACCACCTGTGTCTTTAGTCTCAATATCAACTCACGGCCAATGCCAACCACTTGATCAAAATTCATAAGAAAGCTTATTCAGTGAACGTAGACCAGAGACATTTTGCATGCCATGGTCTGTACGAAATTCTTCTAGAAAAGAGAACAATGCGGTATATACGTCGGCGCTCTGTCTCTTCACTCTACAAGTACACAAAAGGAAAGAAGTTCCTCAAAAGTCATTTTGATATCCATCCTCTGATACACCCTTTACCGATCAACCTCACCTGCGGTATAATTAGCAATCTGCGGTATTAAAGCATCATCGAAGGAAGTAGACTTACCGAACACCAAATCCATCGTACCGATAACCGCCACAGCGTCAGCAAGCATGTGACCCTTGGAAACGTGGTCAAAGCCGCCCAAGTGAGCGAAACCAGGCGCTCTGATGTGGACGCGGTAAGGTCTCTCGCTGCCGTCACTGACGACAAAGACACCCATCTCGCCCTTGGGGGCCTCGATAGCGGAGTAGGTCTCACCAGGGGGCACAGTGTAACCCTTGGTGTAGAGAAGGAAGTGGTGGATGAGGGCCTCCATGTTCTCCTTCATGGCAGCGCGGGGAGGGGGCGAGATCTTGTAGTCCTCGACGCGAACGGGGCCAGCGGGCATCTTGTTGAGGCACTGGTGAATGATGCGCAGGGACTGTCTAAACTCCTCCATACGGCAAAGGTATCTGTCGTAGCAGTCACCGCGGACACCGACGGGGACGTCAAACTCCACCTCGCCGTAGGCATCGTAAGGCTGGCTCTTGCGGATATCCCAGGGGACACCGGAACCACGCAACATAACACCGGTGAAGGAGAGGTTGAGAGCCTCGGCGGCAGAGACCACACCAACGCCCTGGAGACGCTGGATCCAGATACGGTTGTCCGTCAACATCTCCTCGGTCTCGTCAATGCGGTCACCGAACTGGGTGGCCCATTGGTAGATATCGTCGAGAAGACCGACCGGGATGTCCTGGTGGACACCACCGGGACGTACGTAGGCGGCGTGGAGACGGGCACCGGAGACACGCTCGTAGAATTCCTGACAGACACGCGGGTTAGCCGGAAATCGCACGACCCCCCTTTATTGTTTCTCCCAACTTACCATGAGCTTCTCACGCTCCTCGAAACCCCACAGGAAAGGCGTCAAAGCACCAACGTCCATGGCGTGTGACAGAACAGACATGAGGTGGTTCAGGACACGGGTGAGCTCGCCGAATAGGGTGCGAATCCACTTGGCACGGTCGGGAATCTCGACGTTGAGAAGCTTCTCAACGGCAAGGGCGAAACATTGCTCGTTTGTCATCATGGAAACGTAGTCGAGACGGTCGAAGTAGGGAAGGGCTTGGAGATACGTCTTGTACTCGCAAAGCTTCTCTGTACCTCTGTGAAGCAGACCGACGTGAGGGTCGGCTCTAATAATCTCCTCGCCATTGAGCTCGAGAATCAGACGCAACACACCGTGGGCGGCAGGATGCTGGGGACCGAAGTTGACGGTATAGTGGCGGATCTTTCGGTCCTCGACAGACTCCTCAGGCGTTGTGTCCTGGTCCTTCGGCGGCGTCAAGCTGTAGTGGTCCTCGGCGCGGGAGAAGTCGGTCGAGACTTGAGTGAGGCGGGTTCCTTGGTATTCGGGGGAGGCATCGGCGTATCGGCGCAGGGAGGTCGTCGAGAACGGGCGGGCGGCGAAGGAGGTGACTGCTGCCGGGCGCAGACATAACCTCTTGGCGCTGTGGCCAGCAAGTCGGTAGAGGCCTGACATGGCGATTGTAGAGTGGAGAGACGGCTTCAAAAGAGGTCAAGGAGATGTGCTGCCTCCAATTGAGCCTCCTTTATTATGCCAATGGGCTGAGGGCCGGCTAGGTTGGATAGAGGGATTCGCCTTCGAAAGTGTGTAGTGTGGCCGTCATGTCCCGAAAGCTCGAACGCATCAATTCAAAATGGGCCTTCGCTGATTGGCTCAGCGGAGCACGGTTTTGCCGCAGCCCTTGAAGGTGCCAGACGGTACAGTACGTACTGTATCGCACACGGCTTATGCTACATGGATGTGGACTCAATTGAGTTGCAGCTCTCTCACAAACTAGTCTCAAGCTGCAGCTGTTGTCATACGAGGTAAGTAACTGTTCTCTCATTTAGACTTGCCTTACGGATGCATAGCACATCAATCACTGGCAGTCCCAGTGTCAATTATGTTGCAATCAAGGGTTCACCAACTCTTGGCTTTTTTCATGGCTTGCGCAGACTGTAACAGCTGATGTGAAGCTCCAGACAATTCCTCGCTCGTTACCTCACCGCCGGTGAACGTGTGTAGGTTCAGTACTCCACCAGGAGTCCTCGAAAATGCCATGGCCGTTCAGCTCTTCCAGCTCAGGGAAAGAACTCACCCCGAGCAGGTCAGAAAATGATGCGCGCGCCAAGTCAACATCATGGAACGACCTATTGCCGACTCCTGAGCCGCCATTGTCGGCTGCTAAAGAATGGGCTCCTGTTTTCCTGACATCCGTCGCATCATTAGCAGCTTTCATGTTTTATCAAACACGATTGCGGAGATTCCCAACGACAAACCACATCCAGCCAGAGCTTTTCAGGAAGCGAACTCTTCTGGGGCGAGTGACCAGCGTGGGAGATGGAGATAACTTTCACCTGTTTCATACACCAGGCGGCAGACTTGCAGGCTGGGATTGGCTGAGGAGGGTGCCCAATACGAGAGCCGCACTCAAGGGGAAGACAGTGAGTGCAACTCTTTGCATGTGTGAGACTTGGTGCTGATTCTCATTGCAGATACCCGTACGGATGGCTGGTATTGATGCTCCCGAGGGCGCGCACTTTGGCCGGCCGGGGCAGCCAGGTGCGGCAGAAGCACTGCAATGGCTTAGGGGTTACATACTCAACAAACGTGTCTGGACTCGACTTCACAGGCGCGACCAATATGAACGTGTCGTTGCAACAGTGTATATAAGACCGTTTCTGTTCAAGAAGGACGTCGGATTGGAGATGTTGAAGCTTGGGTTAGCGACGACATATGAAGCGAAGACGGGAGTTGAATGGGGAGGGGCCGAAGAGGCATACAAAGCTGCCGAGGCCAAGGCTAAGGCGAAGAAGCTTGGAATCTGGAATGGCAAGGCAAGTGACTTTGAGAGTCCCAGGGCGTACAAGACCAGAACAAACGAGACCGAGGGGAAGTCTGAGGGGAAGCCTGAAGGGAAGACGGAGGGGAAGAAGACTGGCTGGTTGTCTGGCTGGCTGTGAGGTGTAAGTCCAAAAGGATGTTCTACTACTTCGAGACCAGCCACGGGCCAAGATACAACCTACCACCTTACACGACGATACCAAGCTAGCACATTTATATGAAACCAGGTGCTGCTTGAATGTGCTGAATTAAGAGAATGAAGAATCCATCTGCCTTGAATGAGATGGGTACATCGATATACTGCTTTGTCATATAATGGCTTAGTTGCATACACTGGGCTATGGTCTGCTATCAGTGATTGGCTGGAAATGACCCCAGTACCTGCCACTCTCACCGTGCTCGCAACCTCACCCCCTGTGTTTGACCCGAACTTGGACGTATCAGATTGCAGTATGCGTACAACCCAACCTCAATGAATACCGCAACTTCTCACAACATCTAGCCCTAATCGGCAATCTCAGCATTGAATGCATAGGGAACTGGGCTGTCAGTCTTCGACCGCTGTTTGATCGGATTTGTTATTTTCATTGACCTGAGAGAGAAGCACGCAGTTCTCCAGGCCGCCTCAACGGTCGCAACTCGCCCAAGATGTCACTCCAAGTCAGAGGCCCCGACTTCTCGGTGACGAAGCAGAAGGCCCTCGAAGATGCGAAAAAGATGCAAGCGGCGGTGGACGATGAGGTGGCCAAAGCTGGACAGGATAAGCCGCCATATCTTCTCAATGAACTCATTGGCAAGGGAAGTTTCGGTCGCGTCTATAAAGCAACCGACATCAACACTAGCATGCTTGTTGCGGTCAAAATCATCGACATTGAAGAGAGCGACACCGTCAACCCCAAGCTTGCCGACACCTTCAAGGAATTTTTGGCCGAGGTCAACGCTTTGAAGCTTCTCAGTGACAGCGGCGCAAGGAACATCAATCATGTCATCGACGCATTGCCCGTCGGCCAATCCATGTGGATGATCACGGAATACTGCGCTGGAGGAAGTGTGGCAACACTCATGAAGCCGACCGCCCCCGGTGGTCTGCAAGAGAAGTGGATCATCCCAATTCTCAGAGAGGTCTCTGAAGCCGTCTTCTGGGTTCATCGGCAAGGCATCATTCACCGCGATATCAAGTGCGCCAATGTTCTAGTTACTGAGGCTGGCGGAGTGCAACTTTGCGATTTCGGAGTGGCCGGTGTCATTGAGACGAAATTTGACAAGCGATCGACCTTCATCGGAACCCCTCACTGGATGGCTCCTGAACTTTTTGATCAGTCAACATCGTATGGAACAGAGGTGGACATTTGGGCATTCGGCTCCATGGTTTTTGAGATTGCTTCTGGCTTACCGCCAAACGTCATGGCAGGCGTCGACGTATATCAGCTTGGAAATTACATCAAGGCACACACGCCTAGATTGGAGGGCGACCAGTACTCCGACCGACTGAAGCATTTGGTCGCCTACTGTTTGGAGGAGGATCCGACCAAGCGACCGACAATTGAAGAAGTACAAAACCACCCTTATATCGCCAACTCGACCCAAGAATACCCGGCAGCATCACTAGCATTACTAGTGAGAGGATTCAAGCTTTGGGAGTCTCAAGGTGGCAGCCGTAAATCACTATTTGCTCCTGGAGGAGCCCAGGGCATGTCTGGCATGGATGAGTCCGATTTCTCATCCACTGCGATGGCCAACGACGAATGGACTTTCAGCACAACAATGGCGTTTGACCAACAGGTCTTCCAAGATACGGATACTCAGGCAGTCTACGATGTGTACGGCTCAAACGTGGAATTCGACCCTATGCTTCTGGACGACATGTCTCGATCCAAGCCGAAGTCGCGGCGTAGACCGCCACCTCAGCAACTTGCCGCCATGAAGGCTCCTTTAGAGAAAGTGTTTGACCCGAACACCATATCCAACTATGAAGACAACTCCCGGGCATACTATGGCAGGCCAATCCCTCCACCAACTTCAGATCTTCCGTTGCGAGACGATTCACTCCAGTCAACAGCAGTGAGAGAATCGCTCATCGACCTAGACGCTTCACTTCACGGCGGTGATCTGTCCAACTTTGTGGATATGAACACCATCAGAGCCGGCGCACCACGCGTATCTGTCGATTATCACATGGGCGACGAGCCAGACTTCAGCAAAGCACCTTCGAGCGACCCGGCGGATCTGAACCCGAACAGAAGGACACAGGACTGGAAGTTTCCTTCAATGGCGCCTCCGGCTTCCGCGAACCCGGAAATGTCGAGGTTCCCCTTCAACGAAGACCGACCCTTCCACGAAGATAGGCCCTCATGGGATAACCCTTCGGGACCCAGCTCTGCCTCGCGCCCGCAAATGTTCCACCACCAGACCGATCCTGTCCCAGCTCCTAACTATGGCGGCGACTTGATGGTTCCCCGGCCTGGCTCACAGATGAACAACAGAGAGTCCACGGGGAGCTTAATCGACCTCGACATGGGCTTGGCCGATATGGATGAACTTATGGTTCCGCCTCCCAGTAACATGAATAACCGTGTATCGACTGGTAGCTTGATCGACCTCGACATGGGCTTGGCCGACCCCATGCCGGAGCTAACTCGCCCTTCAACGGCAAACTCAGATGTCGCATCTGTCAGCGGCTCAGAGATGGGAATGGCAAACCCTTTCGACCTGGAGCGCCATGCTTCTCTTTACGTGCCCATGTCAAACCGAGAGCCATCCCTTTATGTTCCGACATCGAACAGGGAGCCGTCTCTTTATGTACCAACATCAAACCGAGAACCATCAATCTACGTCTCAGACGATTCGGATTTCGCCTCACGCGCTCCCAAAGACGACGATCAACTAAGCCTCGTCGACCTCTCCCTAGCTGAGCCTGGTGCCACCGTTCGGCCCAACGGTCAGGGTGGGCTGCGACTCAATACGCATCGCTCCTTCAACAGCGTCAATAGTGCCGACTATTCCGACCCCGAGTATCTGACTCCACAGCAGGCCGCCCAGCCAGCCCTGCCGCCAGGTATCCCGCGATCAGTAGGGAACCGGGACAGCGGCACTCTTCCTCTGCCTCCCCCACCAGCGCCGCCATCTGTGGAGGTCATGCAAGGTTCAGCGAGCGCAGACGCCGTGAAGGAAGAGCTGAGGAGAATGGCGATGAGTCTGGGTGAGCATTTGAGCCACGCGAACCAGTATCTGTCGACGCTCCCAGTGCGTAAGGGCGGAAGGCAGGACCTGATGGGTGAATCCACGTGAGGGGGTTGATATGTTTGGCTTTGTTTTATACGCTTGGGAAGCAGTACGAAAATACGGCGAGGATCTACTTATGTAGTTATGGAGCATTGGCGTTGGAGGTGTATGGACTATTGAGGAAGGACATGTATGACTACTCTGAGTTGGATGCTAGGTTGGCATGGGCAATTTTTGTTTTGAGCGAGAAGGCCCACGTCAGATATGGTTATTTACAATAACATGGATTCCCTTTTGAGACTGTCTCTGCCTGTTCTATCGTACTCTATGAGAAACCTATCATGTCACCCAGAAGTAAGGCCCGGTACTTCTCCGTTGCCTCCTGCAGCTTGATGAGCACCGCGGCAGAGAGCATCTTGACATTATTCTCCTCCCCGCCATCTTCGCCCCGCGTGCCGTTAAAGACACCGCTAACCCACTCCTGCGTCTCGACGACCTCGCGCGGATGCGCCTCGCACAGCCGCCGCATGTCAGACGCCTCATTGACCTCGAGCATAGCCGCCAGCGCGATGAGCAGCGCGTGCGTGCCGGGCACGTCGCCGTTGACGTGGGCGCGGATGCCTAGCAGAAGATCCCAGAGTTCGGCCGTCATCTGCGGGAGGGCGAGCGTCGCGGGGCCCGCGGCGTGGACGAGCACGGCTAGGGTCTTGAGGTAGAGGGGGAGTAGGTAGGGTTGGATGAAGATGACTGAGCGGGCCGAGTGGGAGCGCAGGGCGTGTTGGAAGCGGGCCGTTAAAGGGAAGAAGAAGGAGGTGGCGAGGAGGGTGGCCGTTGTGTTGGGGATGGAGCGGATGCCGGGTTTCTTGGTGGATTTTGAGGGGAGACGGGAGGTGAAGGTTGAGAGCTTGAGGACGCCTGGTCCCGTTGTTGCGTCTGCTGCGTTGGCGGCGATTGGGGCTAAGAAGGAGGATGTTAAAGAGTCGGCGATGGTGTCGAGGGCGTTGGCGGGGATGGCCTTCAGGTTTGACGAGGATGCAAGGCGGGCTTGGGCGGTGGACACGTCGAGGTAGAGCGCTTCCATCTTCTCCGGGAGGCGTTTAGAGGGGAACGAGGCGGCGGCCGCGTATTCTGAGGTGTCGAAGCCGGCGAGCTCACGAGCGCTGAGGCCGAGGACGATAAGGATCGAGGCACGCTGGGAAATAGAGTAGTCGCCGTCAAAGAAGGTCTTTGCGAACCACTGTCCCATTTTCTGGGGCTGTGCTGCAACGATGGCTATCATACCCTGAAGAAGAAGGTTGTGGAAATTTTCAATCTCAAACTTGTCCTGTAGACCGACAAGAAGCGTGGCGAGCTCGTCTGCATGGGAGGAGACCTCCGTGCCAAAGTTTGCCTTGCGGCGGATCAGGGGCGGGGCCGTGGTGAGGGCCAATTTCTGCTTGTCGTAGTTATCAGTGTCGCGAAGGTAGGCTATGAGATCGCGAATGTAGACTGGGGCCTTCGGCTTGTCGCGACGGATGAGCGTGGCATCTTCGTCTGAGTCTTCTGCATCGTCGGGGGGCTTGGCGTAGGGTACGAGGTCCTCGTCCTCGCTTTCAGAATCTGAGACCTCTTGGATGATGAACTTTGAGGGCGCGGCTGTTTGCTTGGGTTTTGGTACTGGCTTTCGGCGGGAGGGAACTGGTGGTTGCGGCTGTCTCTTTTGTTTCTCCTCGATAGTGGTGATCAACAGGTCAATAGGTCCGGCACTGTCTAGCGTTTTGGCGAGATCTTTGTAGAACTGGGCTTCATCCGTTGCCATTTCCTCCATTTTGAAATCCAGCTTCTTATCACCGCCGTCGATGAGGCTTGAGAGGGCCTCGCCCACTGCCATACCCAAGAATCTAGCCCTCTCTTGTGAGGCACCGATCCGGTTGGACACGGTATTAAGGTAGCTTGAAGATCGCATGAGCATTTTGAGCTTCAGAGACGAGAGCTTATTGACATAACTGGTGCTAAGGAGGAGGACCTGAGCATGGGCTTCATTCTGGTCAGCAAGTGTTTGAGGGTGATACGGGTGAGAACATAGTACCTTGTTGTTGCATGATCGGGGAGTGCTTGATGTATAGCTGATCGCCGAACTGGTGAAGGCTCTTCTCAAACACAAGGGTGACGCATTCTTTGTCCTGTGCAAGCGCCGCCATGACTGCGCGCCTGATACCTATGCCATCGCCCAGGCCGGCACCAGTTGAGCTGGTCAACCAAGAGATGAGATGTGTTTTACGACTTTCTTCGCCAGCGACCATTTTCTCGATGACTCCAGCAGCAGCGGATATCGTCGAGTTTGGCTTCAGAGGCTCGACGTCGCCTAGCTTGTTGAGGAATGCCTCCGACAAATGCTTGAGAACAGCAAAGATGACTCGCTTTTGCTCGAGTTGAGAGAAATGGCCAAAGAGCTTGAAGAACGCGTTTCGGCTTTGCTCAGGGCCTAACAGAAGTTCTCCGATGAACTGCTTCATCAGGGCATCTACAAAACTGTTAGTGACATGACTCAAGCTACCGATTGCATGGCGTAGGGGATGGTAGACTTCCCAGAATAACCCAGGCGAAGTGATCTTGTGAAAACTTCCGAACAGAGCTTCACATCTTCAGACAAGATTTCGTCCTTCGCCCACGCCCCGACACTTCGACCCAGCCACCTGCTGTATTGTTGCCCGTCTGCGATCCAAAATTGGGTTTTGCCGATTCTGTCCGGGTTGGCGATGGCATCTGCCTCTGCTGCGACTGAAATAAGTCGTCCTTCAGCTATCAGCGCAATGAACTCATTCGACATTGGTCGTCTTCTCGCCATAGATTCCAGTCCAATGCTGCTCGCCATCCACAGTGTAGCAAGGTACTCGTCCTTGCCCAGCACCGCTGAGCTGACCTCGAGTAGCACATTTAAATTTAGGCTCAGATCTGGTCGCTTCACATCTTTGACGCTCGCCTTGGATTCTTGCACCAAGGCCTTCATGCGAGTGATGATGGCGTTGAGACCCGTGACGCTTCTCAAGCACCGGAGCAGCAACTCGACGTCTCTTGGGCTGTCAATATCTTGTATACTAGATCCTCCGGCAGCGTCCTCTTTGAGCAAAGGCCAGTAGTTGGGAACAATCTCCGAGACGAGACACTGAACAATTTGCGCAGCTTCGGGGCTAGGTGTCGCAAGCCTGAAGCCTGTTGCTGCAACACTGCCATCTGTGAGGGACTTGAGGACTCCAATCAGAGTATCATAATTTGGCTGATTCTTCAGAGTCTCTAGAGCATGTTCTGCTGAGAGGATTTCAGTGGCAGTCGGTTTCGATGATTGGGACTGCTTGTTGTTTGTGGCTACATCTTCCGCTGAGAGTTCATCTGGCCTTGCCTTGCGGTAGGTGGTGCTGACCGGGGTAAAGAAGTCGTCCATGCTTGACGATTCCCTTTCAAGTGGGAGACAATGGTGCTTGCATGGTTTTGTAACAGAATGAAGATGGAGTCCTCGAAGAATCAGCCCAAAGGTTGAAGAAGTCCCGAGTTGTTGGCGAGCAGATCTTCTCTGATTGCTTTGATCTGTGGTTGAAGTATCGGATGGAAATTCTGACTGTTAGGAATATATCCGTAAGGTAGTTCGTTGCTTCCAATACCTAGGTGTACAGGCCTAAGTCCAAAGAGTGAGGGTCCTAATTTTGGGTCATCTTTCGGCGCACCCCACCACCTGGTACTGTAGACACCCCCACAGAAGCCCGCAACCCTTTATCGATAAGTAGTCTGTCGATAACCTAAGCCTTATCGGACACAGGCATCTCGTCATGTCGGCCCCTCCACCTCCCGAAGCTCACCCAGCTTGAGAAGGAACGAGCAACAAAGTGACCGCCATTAACATCCCCTCCAAATTCAAGCCAATTTGACCTCTCCCTTACAATGGCCACCGAAGCCTCATTGCCGGTAGCGACGCATAATGTCGACGAGGGAAAAAGATGGTTTGTCTCTCCTGCGACAGGCCGTTAGTCGTCGTATCCAGTCGCTGATCCCAGCATGGTATAGGACCTACCTCGACAATATTCGCAAGACACCAGGACCCTTCAGCGATCCCGATGTGGCCGGAACGGAGGAGGCTTTTGAACAGTTCGACAAGATCAAGGTCTTGTATGATATTGTATGATCCAATGAGTTGATGCTGTCTACTAACACATTCTTGTGTAGGGTGATGTTGGTGATCCCCTCCTCGAACACGATATCTTGCGACTGACGTTATACAAGTGGCGCCGGAGGTCTTGGATGTGAGATATTGAAGAACTTGGCCATGTCCAAGTTCAAGGATATTCATGTCATCGATATGGGTACGCCGTACTCTTCCGTTGCTCTGGGCAAGACCTGACATTCATTGGTCCAGATACTATCGACATCTCGAACCTGAACCGACAATTCCTCTTCAGAAAGTCCGACGTCGGCAAATACAAGGCCGAGGTTGCGGCTCAGTTTGTCATGCGTCGCGTCAATGGTGTCAACATTAAAGCCCATAACTGTGCCATCCAAGATTTTGGTCAGGACTTCTACAAACAGTTCCAGTTTGTCATCTGTGGACTGGACAGCATCGAAGCCCGCAGATGGATCAACGCAACCCTCGTACAAATCGCCGAAGAAGGCGAGGACCCGGATTCGTTGATTCCCATGATTGATGGAGGTACAGAGGGATTCAAGGGCCAGGCCCGAGTCATCGTCCCTTCGATCACGTCTTGTATCGAATGCCAACTGGACATGCACGCACCGAGAGCCGCTGTTCCTCTCTGCACAATCGCCTCAATTCCCCGACAACCAGAGCACTGCATTGAATGGGCACACGTAATCGCGTGGGACCAGGAGAAGCCGTTCCCAAAGCTGGACAAGGACGACACTACACATGTGTCCTGGCTATACCAAAAGGCTCTTACCCGTGCTCAAGAGTTCAACATCACGGGTGTCACATACGCCTTGACTCAAGGAGTCATCAAGAACATCATTCCCGCCATTGCGTCTACGAACGCTATAATCGCGGCAGCATGCTGTAACGAAGCCTTCAAGCTCGCCAGCTCGGCCGCGCCGACGCTTGGAATGGAGGAAAACTACATGATGTATTCTGGAAATGACAGCATCTACACATACACCTTCAAGCACGAGAAGAAGGACGACTGCCCCGTCTGTGGACAAGAGTCGCGGCCACTCGAGGTTGACCCCGACAGCACACTCCAGGACCTTGTGGACTCGTTCGCTGTCCGTCCCGAGGCGCAGTTGAAGAAGCCTTCATTCAGAGCCGCCAACAAGACTCTGTACATGCAGTTCCCGCCGAGTCTGGAGGAAAAGACCCGGGCCAACCTCGAACAGACCATCAAGGAGCTCGAGCTGGAAGATGGACAGAACATCATCGTCACGGACCCAGCTTTCCCTCTGGAATTCAATTTCTACTTGCGATTCAAGAAGACTGCATAGACCAGCACTCGGCATTTACGTGGGATGATGATGATGATAATAGCATGGATGGTGTCTTTGGGAACGTCAAAAGGCATGGCACATCAAGTGTGCTCGCACCAAACGAAGCGACTAGACGAATCTAGAAAATCAAACCGAGTGTCATTATGAACTTTTTTCTTTCTTTCTATTGCCAGCCGGCCCTTGCAAAACCAGAAACACGGGATATCTATAAGTATGGTACATGTGCAGTGATGCTTCATCTAACCATGTTGATGACCTGCTGCTCAAGACGGATACACCTCGTCTTGAACTGCTTAACTGACTCCAAAAACAATTCGTCGCTGTCCCACTGTCCTGTGCTCTCAATGGAGAAGATGAAGTGGTCACGCACCCGGCCCAGCTTGACTTTACCCTCGAATTCGGGGTGGCGCAAGCACTCACGACTGACTGTATCCCTCATGGCGTCCTTGACCACGGCCTTCTTCTCGCCCTCGTGACCCTCGTATCCGCTGCCGGCAACGGCGGCCTCCTTCTTCGTGACCTTTTCGAAGCCGACGACGCCTTGCGGGAAGCACTTGGCAAACTTGTCGGCGTCCTGACCGAGAATTGGCCGCGTGATGGTGATGGTGGGCATTAGACGGTACGAGGCAGTCGCGACGGGAGAGAATTTTGCGTGGTCGGAGCCGACGCCCTTGTGCATGTGCATGTCGAGCTCGATGCACTGGCCGGGCCGCAGCTTGGCGATGAGGATGTCGGGGTTGACGGGGCGGATGGCGTCCTCGCCGGAGAAGAACTCGACCTGGCGGCCCGTGGGGACGAACTCAATGTCCTTTGCGTAGACGCTCGCGTGGTGGAAGGCCTTTGCCGGGTCCGTCTCGCCGGGGGCGGCGTCCGGGTTGCGGGTGCACTCGATGCGCAGGCGCAGCTGGACGGTGTTGTAGTCGAAGGAGCCCTTGCCGCCCTGCTCAGGTTTGCGGTACCATTTCAGGAACTTATGGAGGCCCTCGGGGTTTCCGGTGAAGGGGATGAGGCCGAGGCGGTGGGCGAGGACCTCGTCCTGGATCACCGAGGTGTTGTTCTCAATGTAGACGTTCTCGATGGCGATGGTGGGGATCTCGGCGATGAGGGTGCGGCGGAAGGCGTTTGCAATGGAGGCGTCGACGCCGATGAGGGAGAAGGAGGCTTCATGTTGGGCGTTGTGGTGGAATTGGACGCGGAAGTTGGAGGCGAATCGGTCGAGGTCCCAGGCGTGGTCCTCGCCGGCGTAGGTGCCCGGGTAGTCTGTCGAAGTCACATCGGTGACAGTTTCCTTGTTGATACCGACTATCTGCGAGGAGCCGTCAGTATGGGAAAATTGTGCCTCGAGGAAGAATTGTGTTGACTTACCCTCCGCCTGTCCAGCTCGGCTTGACTCGGTGTTGAGGAGGGCGCCATTGTGGTGTGTGGTATGACTGGACTGCGACTGCGAAAAGTTGCGATCGATGGAAAGACAAAATAATTTTTTGGAGGACCCCTCTATCTACACCGAGACTATGCGGCTTACGTACACGCCCCTGGATCGTTAATGCCAACCCCCCTACACTCCCAATGCGTTCTGGAAAAAAAATCTGGAGAAGCTATGTGGGGCATTGGACGTCACAACGGATGATGAATAAGGTACGAGACCATTTCTCAACTACACGGGCCGGCCTGTCAATGAGGATCACGAGAAATCACGATGTTTAATCTACATAATTCGATTGTCTGTCGTGAAATCATCTGCGTGTCTCTAATTCGGTTCTTTCAAATATTATATCCTCATCAGACGGCGCCACTGGAAGTCCTTACTGAATCCCTGGAAGGCTTCCGTAAGGTACATATCATACACGATACCAGGCGTAAGCATACTAAGGTAGTTGCTGTCTTTGAGGATCAGACCATGAGGCTGTCGCGGGCGAAGATGAAGTTTGCTGAAGGAGCGTAGTAGCCAGCCACTGTGTGCATACATTCAATTGTATGGCTTCAGATTGTTTCCAGAGATTTAGGCGATGCCAGAGTCATCTTCTCAAGTGAACGAAGAGGAGTTCAATACTATCTGGCTTGGAACCCATGCGCACACTCGACTGCCATGGTCTACCTTATATGCATACCTGCCAACCAGAAAATGCAACTATCTAGTGCGTCTACCTATGAGTACCTATCATGACAGTATGCCGGTGATACATCGACATTGAGGAGGAACAGCTACATAACCAAGTACTACCTCTTCCTTACGTTTGGTCAACTAGGTGGCTGCTCTTCGTAAGGCAAGGTGGAAGAGAGCAATAGATTGGGATGACAAGTCTTCCCTCATATGCCGTCCACTAAATCGAATATGCACTTACCAGCGGATTCGATCTGGCGGGAAGGAGCAAGTACAGCAAAGGTAAGGAAGGCAGGTGCTAAGGGAAGTAGAGTTTGGGAGGCAAGAGCGACCTGGACTTGCCGCACCTGCCTCCCATAAACAACATCGCTCCTCCCGCAGACATCTTCTTTGCAAGCTCGCTGCCATTCTTCCTTTTCCTCCCCTCCCTCATCACTCCTCCTCACATCTCGGGCAGTTCAAGTTCGTTGCCTTTCATTTTCCCTGTCAAGAACAAGAAGCCAGCCTCCAGTATCTCATACGCAGGTGTGGTCTTCTTATCATTATCGCTGGGATTGCGTCCTTACCACAAATGGGTTATCTGTTTCTCTTGGAGGTAAGAGACGAACCCCTCAGAAGCTCATCATCTGTTCCTCATCAAAGGGCTTCATTGACCATTGTTTAGTGTCGAGGCTATTTTACTTTCGTCCTGATCATCACAGAGTCCGCCACTCGGTTTTGCATTAGTGCTTCCTTTATTTGGGACTGAATACTTGTACAAGCTTTCTCTCAAATCGCCTCACGGACACCGCCTACTCCAGCAGTCATGATGGTGAATGTGAGCACCAACGTATCGCCTTGGCCATGCGATACCTCACCGGCAGATGATGTCCATCCTCACTCCGCCAATCCAGCGCTTCAGCAGCAGCCAATGTCGGACCCACGTTACTCGAGGGAGATTTTCGAGGCAAGTGGAAGAATAAATCTCTCCTTCCTGCCCATTGTCCTCCTTTTTCTTCTTTGTACATTGTTTTGACTCCTAGCAGACTTGCTCCATCCCAGTCAAGGTCGGAAATCCTCATCTAGCTCGCAAGCCCGCGTTCGCAAACACGATGTCGAACAAAAAATCGCCTGGCAAGCAGATTGCCTCCTCTGGCTCTTCCGGTCGCAAGAACAGCCGTCGAAACCGCCTTTCTGCGCTTTTCGGTCACAGCCCGGAGCAGATTGGCGATGCTACTGAGCATGAGACGGCCCCTCAAGAGGAGGGTACGCCTACCAAGATCACCGTAAACAACCGGCATGAGAATGGAAGTCACCTTCAGAATTCTGCTACTCTGCTCGATAACGATCGCAAGGAGAATGATACTCGCGACTCTGTTGTCACCATCGTCACGACACGTTCCGTCACTACTGAAGACAAGGACGCACCTAAGTCCGACATCGCAGCTTCCGCGAACAAAATCGACACCTTCGATTTTGCCAATAAGACTCAGATACAGGGTGAAATCTTGGAGCTCAAGTCTTGTGCTAAACTAACTATCGGTGAAGCAATCACGAACCCGTCGCCGAGTCGCATGACGAAGTTGCCCATTCATCGCCATAAGAGAGCTTCAAGCTCCTTCAAGATTGTCGACAGGGACTCTGCGGACGCTGTGCTCCTGTCTGCTTCTTCTTACAATCCCTCTCCTGGAAATAAGAACAATGCTGTTACGAAGCTCGGCATGCAGGCGCCCTCTTCTACTAAGCTTCCCCTGCACAACCAGCGCCATGATCAGGAGGCTCTGCTGCTGCGCTCGTCTACATACTCTGGCTCTACCATCTACAACGGTAGCCCTCAGAACAAGCCCACCCATAGCAAGCTCAAGGGCAAATATCCTACCAAGAATGCCTGTTCTCTCTCTTCATACACAGAGCCCGGCCCTGCGATCAAGATTACCGACAGCAACGAGGAGATTGCTACGAAGCTCAAAGCTATGGCTTCCACTCCCGCTGCAGTGTCTACTCCTGCCACTCCTCTTCTCAGCGCACTCAAGACCTACGCCCCCGACAAGTCTCCGGGCGAGAAGAAGGTCCGCTTCGCCACGACGTCCTCTACTAAGTCTGACGAAAACGACAATGAGAGCGGAGGCTCGGAAGATTCGGACAAGACCATCAAGCCTGGTGATGGAGGCATGAAAGCGGCCCCGGATGCCATTCTATCGCCTACAATCTGGGACAAGAGTGCTGAGCCCAAGATCTGGGTAAAGAACGGCAAGCCCACCCTCTTTCAGCCTCAGAAGTCCCCCGGCTACTACACCAACCCGCTTTGGTCTCGCCAGTATCCCGAGATTCTCTCAGACGATCCCCGAGTCAACCCCTATGCTGCGAGCATCGCTGGAAGTACCACGTCTACGAATGGAAGCCATTATTACGATTACCCCGCGGCCCGCGTCGCCCCCGACTTCGATGTGGGCAACAAGCTTCACGTTAATGGTGAATCCAGCATCAACGTGAACTTCGGTACGGGTGCTGCGCCTGCTCGCACTCCTTTCACCAGAACCACTCGAGGCACTATGCCTTCGCCCCCCGGTGCCAACCAGAATTTGGTCGACCGCGATTTCCCGGACAGGCCTTCTGTCCCTGCTGGTTTCGGCATGCCCCCTCTTTATAGAGGCCAGATCAAGCTCGAAATTGGTGGCCGTCGCTTTGTTAGCTCCATGGACGTTCTTGAGAGAAGCCCCTGGTTCAAGTACATCTTCTCCATCAACTTCCGCGATTGGTACCGCGATGGCGTCTTTCACTTCGACAATGATGGAGATCTCTTTGCCCACATCCTGCGCTTCCTGCGCACTGGCATGCGCCCTCTCTTCTGGGATGCGCGCAACGGCTTCGACTACGCTATGTATGCGATGATTCAGAAGCAGGCTCGCTACTACATGCTCTACGACCTTGAAGCTTGGATCGCCCAGCAGAAGTACTATGACGTCGTGGAGACTCAAGTCATTCACCAGAAGTTCATCATCCCCAACGCTCAAGGCTGGATTCACGAGCAGAGTCTCGTGGGTCTTCACACCTCTGAGATCTCTGGCGTCGTTGGACACCGCAATGTGGCTCCTGAGGCCCCTGTTGCAGACGTGTTCTACTCCCAGAATGGAGAGAGCTCCAAGGGCAAGGACATCGCGGTTCAGCAGAACGGCCCTGGAGGTGCTGTGGCGCTGTTCACCACCGAGAAGGTCGTCAGAGTTCACGTGGACCAGCTTGGCCCTTTCTGAGGCTTGGACTCATCTTCACTTGTATCATGTCGGAGTATTCAGAAAATTTGGCCATGGAAAGGAACGTGATATCGCACTGGATTTGTTTTTTGAGAACTTTTGCTGCTTCGTATGTAGCTCGTTTGGCCATGATAATGAGGGGGATGGATATGGTCCAACTTTTGTTCACTAGGAACGCAACTTTGCTAAGTGTGCAGGCAAAGAGTCCTTGGCTAAGGATTGCTTGAGCCTTTCAACGCAGATCATCTCTCTACTCAAATGAAAATCGCAATTACAAAAAGCGTGGCCCCAGTGTACTCATGTTTTGGCTAAGATGTTCATCATGATCCTTATCCTGGCTGGGTGACTTCGCTCCTGCGAGACTGTACTTCCTTCCCTAGCTAGTGGAAACTTCCTTGTCTTGATTTCAATCTTGCCATCATTCGAATAGACAGTCGTCTTCTCAATGTACAACATTGTCTTGGCGGATGGAGTTGTTTCCCTGGAGTAGTAGGTCTTTCTGACGACAGCATACGTCGTTCTAATCCGAACCAGTCGCTGCATTGCGTGTACCTCAGGTCTCCGATGAGTGAAAGGGTCTTGAGGTCGAACTCTGACGGTCTCGTACGCTCCAGTTGCAGGCTTTGTGCGAGGGGCGTGACCTCCTTCAACTAGTGAAGCGTTTCTTCGGCCTGAAGAGTCTTCTTTGGTGCGAGCTTCTTCATCTTGTTCAACTGCAGTTGAGGCTTCGCTATCTTCGGCCACCTGGTCATGTATTTCGTGCCTATGTTCTTGCTCATCTCTGCTTTCTTCCTTGTCGTCCACAAATCCCTCTGTCTCAATTCTCTCGGCCGGTACACTGTCTGGTTCCGATTGATCCTTATGTGAATACTCTCGAATGGGGACCTCGTGCTCAGTAGTATTGCGCAACCCTTCGGAGCTTTGAATACTTTCTCGGTCTGGCGGTGTTGGGCTCAGGACTGTAGAAACTAATGGATCCTCTGCTGCTGTAGACATTGACCAATTCAATGTCGAAATCGTGCTCTCCGCTGGATCTGCCTTTGGGCATTTGGACTTGAAGCCAGCCAAGTCCCCATAGGCACTACTGATTCTGCCTTTTAATAGCTCATTAAACCTCAGAGAAAGATCCAGGCAACCGGCGACCAGTGGTAGCTTCCATGACGGGTAGAGCCTCCCGTGGCATCGGGAGGTGTAAAACGTCTTTTCAGCTTCAATGAAAACGTTGCAGAGGTAGCACGCGTCTTTGCTGGATCGGATAACTCTAGGCGGAAGATCTGAGTGGCGTGTTTTGAGATGGTAATAGTATATCAGCTGAACCTCGGCGTGGACCTTTGCATTCCTCAATACATCCTTCGCCTTCTTTTCGAATACAACGCCGACATCCTGAAGAGGTGCTTCTGAAATACCCCAGGCATCTCTGAGAACTCGACCGGGGACTGTTGTGACTCCGTTCCTCGACAGAGCTGTGCTAAGTTCTGGGCACCTTCCACGCCCCGAGATCCGTTCGTAGACTCCTTGCCCGAAGCTCGTGAGGTTGACTGTCACCACATCCGCGTATCTAGCGATTGGGTAGTTCTTTGCAGTCCGGTAAATATGTCGCGAGACCTCTCGGTACCGCGAAACTTTGAGGATCATATTACACAGACTTGACTTCGAGCATGGGTCCATTTCTCTGTGAGATATCATGTGAACAAGCTTTTCAAAGTGGTCGACCCGTGAAAGCTGAAACATGTCTTCCACCAGTTGCTTTAGCCTAGATGGATCTTGGTATTTTCTCCATCTTCCGAGTGACTTTGTTATATCGCGAGCTTTAGCCAAGAGGTTTTGTGACTGTACTGTGCTATTATCTGGCTGAGTGAAGTATACATTGAGCGTTTCGATCAACCTCTCAATCGACTGTCGCTTCCTCGTCGGGCGTCCATGTGACTTCCCTGGTTGTTCCTCGCGGATGCGGTTGAGAATTCGGTCGTAGCACATTCTTACAACCTCCTCGAAGACCCTATTCTCGATCTCGAATCTTTCGTTTGTAGGATCTGTTCCAACACGAATAAGCTCGTGAACCTCAGTTCCTGAGAAAGACAACATCGATACTTGCCGTCAAGATTCTTCAACTGTAGGAAAATCTGTTCGAATCCACGCTTGATATCCGACAAGATTTCCTCACCCTTGCTCGGGCCCTTTTTATTTACGGCCACCACAATTTCCAACCGTCGTTGCTCGGTTCGTTCTTCAATATAGACAGCGGGGATGAAGTCTGGATTCCCATCAATGCTGGCCAGGAACGCGAAGGCGCCGCATAGACTCCGCTCTCTACCGAAATGTAGCGTTCTCTCTTTTTCCCCAATGGGATACGATGATCGCGGGTTGGGCTGGGACTTATGCTGGAGCTTGTTCAAGAGGAACAAGAGTGATATGTTCTCGGCGCAAGCGACTGCCGCAGCGTCAGCGTCAGGGTCATTGGGCCTACTCATTGTCCTTTGAAGGTTTTCTCATTGGAAAGTGATTGCGACGGAACATGGAACCGGAACTGGTGAGCACATTGTGAGTCAAAATTGCTGATACTCCATGATGTCTAGTCTTGCGCCATTAGTGGGAGCCGATGGCTTCTTGTAGGTATAATTGTATCGTGATCTAGAACGGAACGCAGCTTGTGTCGTAAGACACCTTGGCAACTTACTGGCCATCTATTCTGCATACCAAGATATGAGATGCGGCGTTCTGATATGACTTGAGCGAATCAGCAGCCGTCGCATCCCTCCCTTTTTCAGAGGTTCTGCAGGAGGCCAACCAAACCACGTTCCAAGAGTGAGGCGTGCTTTCCACCAGGCGAAGGGCTCGAAAGCTGTATGCATCTCGTCATTTCAGACATTTGAAAAGGCAAGAGGGGATGATACCATCATACAGGGGGGACTTTACGACATTCACATGGCATTGATAGCACCTCTCCCCGGAGCTTGCTCGATGAAGGATTCAACTGCACTCCCCGTATCCGCATCCGCATCCGGGTCCGAGACCCACTACTTCAGCCCGTGTGGGACTACGTAGCTCCGCCGACCTCCATAATGATCAAGTCACTGGAAAAAACGCCGATCGTCATGTCTCTCAGTCACTGCCTTTCGAGTCAGTCAAAAACCGGCCGCGTTGTTCCTAAACAAAACGAGTAAAATGTTCTGAGGTTGGATTAAGCTTCCTCTACCCGAGTCGCTAGACTCATCATCCTTTGTACTTGCCCACCGATTCCGGATCTCCCGGGTCTGCGGGGAACCATCCTCACGGGCGCTCGCCCCACGAATGCCTCGAGAAACCAATGGGGGGAAACCAGAGACTGGATACCTTGACCTCCAAAATTAGTGAGGAAACAAGAACTCCATCATGCAGTGGGCACCTGTTCCCCAAACGCGCCGTATTCGGGTCCGTGAGAATACTTGGGCAAGGGGAGGCTTCGTCTGATACGTCGAGTGTATCACATGCGGCTCCTAGGAAGCGGCCTCCCAATGTGACGCATCAGGGCAAGCTCCGGTGCGGCATCATCGTCTTCAAATTTGAGTTTCTTTGTTTGGGGCATATACTTCATCAATTCAGCTGCAGGTTTCCCTTTCTCACAATTTACATCTTCCTCCGATCTCAGACTTCAACTTCATTTTGAAAGAACAAATCTCATCGCACCTTTTCATATAAATAAACCTCAAGACACCGTAGACTGCAAAGTCAACTATACACCAACCCCACGACATCAAGAAACCTCCTCACCAAGACAAACACAACACCTCACAAAAATGTTGAACACAACAGTAACCTTAACCCACACCACCCCAATCCCCGCCTCCCTCACCCGCGAAGCCGCCCTAGCCCTCATCCACGATGCAGAACACCACATCAACTGCGACCCCAACATGAAGGACTACACGGCCCGCACGCCCGCCATCCCGCCCACCGTGCCAAAGGACATTGACCCCATCGCCGCGACGCAGTGCTTCTCCGTCACCGATAGCGTGCCCACGATGCTGCCGAAAGCCATCTGGAACAGCGACGCCGTGAGCGACTACGATTTCACGTTTACAAAGGACGGTAGCTTCGTCCGCACGAGTTGTCCGCTCAGTGTCTTGCTCGAGACGCGCTGGCGTATAAAGGACGCCGAGGGGGCCGAGGGCGATGGGGCGTTGGAGTTGGAGGAGGTTGTTGAGATTCGGTGCTCGAGGCTTTTGGCTGGAGTTGTCAAGTCGCAGTGTGAGATGAATTGGAAGGGTTTCCACGAGAAGATTCTGGCAGGAAAGAAGGCGTGATTTAATTCAAAGAGGAGCGAGTGTGAGAAAGACGAAATGTCGGCAAGTAATGTGCCATATTCAAGCGTAGATGGCAGACACGGACACGTAGCACGGGTAGATTCATATGTGAACAGAGTTATTTTAAGAGGTGTACTCATATTGTACGGTAATGTGGCTATCCTGAGATTTCACATCAAACTGCTCCGACCGCCAATTTCCATGCTTCCTTGGCCATCCTTCATCTCACCACTTCGACCAACAACGAATTCCCGGTAGATTCTCTGCAGTCTGGCCCGCTCCTGCGTGCTGATACTCGATCTGGTGCTTTCCAAAGCCTTCAACAAATGCTCCAGCTTGACCACAACCTCCTTCTCATTCGCCAATTTGCCATCCACTTCTGGGCGCTGAGATTGCTTGACCCTCTTACGGGCAAGCTTGATGCTCTCCAACTTGGCGAGGATGGCGGCATTTTCAATGAGCTCTTGCTGTCGGCTGATAGGCTTCGCGGTAGGTGCAGCGTCTTGGCCGTAACGGAACTGTACGAAGCTGGGAACAGAGCCTTGGGAAGATGACTTGCCGTTGACCTTGCCGTTCGTTGCTGGGACATGGCTGACGTCGTCTAGAACATCGTGGATCGCCTCTAACTGGGAGTTGGACACAAGAGCCTGAAGATCGGCACCAGAAAAGCCTTCGGTTTTCCGTGCGAGATCAATCCATGCGTCGTCGGACTCTGTCAACTCCTCGCTGAGCTTGACCTTGCTGGAAAGAGACTTCAGAATGTCGACTCGGTCTTCCAACATCGGCATATCGCAGAGCAAAGATTTGTCCAGACGTCCGGGACGAAGAAGAGCGGGGTCGATCAAGTCTGGCCTGGATGTCGCTGCCAACACATAAACGCCGGAAAGACCTTCCGCTCCGTCCATTTGCGTAAGAAGCTGGTTCACAACTCTGTCTGTGACACCAGTAGAGTCGTGGCCACGCTTGGGGGCGATAGAGTCAAATTCGTCAAAGAACAAAACGCACGGCTTCGCAGCCGACGCGCGTTCGAAGAGATCGCGAACACTCTTTTCAGACGCTCCGATATACTTGTTGAGAATCTCAGGCCCCTTGACACTGATGAAGTTGAGACCGCACTCTCCAGCAACCGCGCTGGCGAGCAATGTCTTGCCACAACCCGGGTATCCATACAACAGCAGACCGGACCGCAATCGTAGGGGGCATTGCTCGAAAATTGGTGCGTACTTCGTCGGGTACTGCAAAGTCTCCAGGAGAACCTTGCGAGTCTCTTGCAATCCGCCGATGGAGCTGAACGTGGTGGTTGAGTGTTGCAGAGAGACATTTCTCAGTGAGGCAGGCGTAAACCCCTTGAGAGCATTGTCAAAGTCGACGCGACTCAGATGTACCGCACCTCCCTCGCTGTCTGTGTCGTTAACAGACCTGATGATGGCTTCGTTCCGTGCTCTCGCCACAAGTAGGGTGATGTCTCCTGGCATGTAGCCGTCAATAAGGCCAGCAACATCCAAGAAATCCAAGTCAGGGCTGATCACGAATCCTCCACTGGTGCCGTTTTGGTTCTCGCGGCTGCCTTGGCTGCCAGCATCCATCCATGCACTGTCCTCCCCTCCAGCGCTTCCGTCGGCTGTAGGTGGACGGCTGCCGTTCTGTGGTGCCCGTGGCAAGTCCTCGGCGGAGACGGCATCTCTTCTGACAATGCTTTCCATGACCTTTCGTCTCGCTTCCTTGTTTGGTGCCTTCAAATCAACAATCTCCCGGACAACATGACCCCCAATGATCACACTGTTTAAGGAGTCTTTGCCCTCCGCAACAGCCAGAAGAACCACTCCAGTTTCCACGTTGCAGTACTGGCGTACCATGGAACCAATGATTTCGCTGATTTGACGGCTTCGTCCGTTATCATTGCCGACTTGCAACTCGGTTTCCACAGGACACAACTTGTCAAGATCGTCCAAGACTACGAGTGCCTTGCCACCTAGCCTAGCACCCCAACTGGCTGACATGAACACTTGGTTCAGGGTATCCTTGATAGTAGCAATGCGAGTCTCGTCATTAACAAGCTTCCGACAAGGGAAGTAGGTTGTGTGAAATAAAAGGTCTTTCCCAAGCTCCTGGGCCAAAGACCTGGCAACGGCGGTTTTGCCAGAACCCATGGCACCGGTCAGAAGAGTCGAGGAAAGGTGCGAAAGGTGGCTTCGAAGATCTTGTAGGAGCTTATCGATTCCTACGAGCTGACCGTCGTAGGACGGCTGCAGCTCGGCGATGCTGTCGTCATTCATCCACGACGGTCGGGGAACTGGGTCTCGAATATCGACAGCGATTTTCTCGCTCAGGCCCAAGACCCATCTTGTTGACGATCTGAGCGGATCACTGTTGATGGCTGGCGGATCGAACTTGATTACGCCTCCTTCCCAACCTTGGGGAGCCTCTAGGCCCTCGAAAAGACCAATTACTGATCCATCTGTCAGGGGGCCAGTGACGAGAGGGGCGCCGTCTTTGCGAGCGTACAGATGCCTGAACTGCTTGGCCGCCTCCTCCTTACCAGCCTTGGACTCGCCGCCGAACTTCAATCCATCCGAAGACTTTTTAGAAGCGGCAAATGGTTGAACTATCAACTTTGTAACAGCATCCAGCGGCCATTGTTGTGGCGCCGGCTCGATCTTGATAATTCCTCCCACAGATCCAGTAAAGCCTAACGTCGCACACAATGCTGGAGAGAGGACGATGGTCTTGCTGTCAGGTGGGTCGTCCCAAGCGCGTAGATGTGCGACAACCTTTGTAGCTACTTTTGAAGTGCTTGCTGATTGTTCGGCATCTTGCGGTTTCTGAGTGGAACTTGCTTGTGGTGTAGGTCGCAGAATATTGACCGAAACATAGTTTACGCCTCGGAAGTCCTTAGTGTACAGAATGTCGCGGTCTACCCAAACGCTGAAGTCTTGGCTACTCAGGTCCTCGTCGAACCAATCTCGGCAAGCCGAATAGGCGATACCGCGCAGACAAAGGGCAGGCTTGCGTTCTTCTCGCGCACTACGCCGCCGGACTGTACTTGTGCCGCTACGCTTAGACTTGGAGGTGCTTGCCACGCTACGATTCTCTCCCAGGGAGTGTGCTGTCTTGGCCCGGACCTTTGGCGCAACAATAACTTCAGCGTCGGGGGATATCTTGACGAAAGGAACTTCAGCACCGGGTGCGGGATCAAGAGAAACCACTTTGACGTTTGCTGTCGATGTTGGCGAGAGGTGTAGAGTCAAAGCGTGAGGAGCGACTAATGAGCCGGAGCTGGAAGTGAAGGCGGGGTTCGGTAAAGCTCGTACTTGGGAGAGAAGGTTGAGCTCGAGAAACGTTGCATGTAGCTCAATCATTTCCCAGTCTTCCGGAGTAAGCGGCTCAATATTGATCGTGTGCGCAACGGGCGGATCGACGTGTATTGAAGCCGTAACCTTTTGTCCGTCGGTAAGGCCAAGGGTGTTGGCCAACGTCGCGTCAATTTCGACCTGCGCCATTTCCTGGTCACGCCCCGAAGCCCCTGATCTACCACCATTGATGCCATCGCGTCCGACTATGGGCGCAACCTTGCGCTTACTCGGCATGCCCGTCCACCCGACGAAGACGGATCGTTGTTGTGATGCGCCGGACCCGGAGGCGCTCGCGGAGGGCCGGTAACTTAGTTCTACAACTACATTTTGTGCGGGCTGTAGAATATGCCGTCAGAACAAGTTTTACTGATAATAGTTGACTGGAGACATACTGTGTTGACGTTCACGAGGAGTGAGACCAGCGATGCGGGGAGATTGACAAGGCAGTTCTTGAGGTGGGCGAGGGAGATCTCCGCGGGAGTCGATTGCGCATTGCGCCGGGAAGACATGACTGCTGCAATTGAGTCTCTCGAGGTCCATGAGAAAGGGTGAAGGGAGAGAGCGACGGACTCTACAACGAGAGCACTAGGCAATGGCAACAGATATCGTTGCGGAGAGTCACCGGAGCTTGAACTGCTGGAGCTGGGGATGGGAGTTCAGCCGAAAGTGACCCTGGCATGTGCCGACGCCGAGGCATTCCCGGCATGGTAAGGCCACCTCCACCCCCATTGGGTCCGAACACGGGGTAGCTGCAAGGTACGTATCCGTACGTACTGGATGCAGGTGCACCGTCCAACAGCTTGCGCCTCAGGAACCAGCTAGAAGTACAACAGTGAGGTACCTGACGCTGCATGTGGCTGAAAATCAATTAAGCCCTGTGGCTCAACGCGTCCCTCTTTCCTAACCGCGACGCGTTCTTGTGTGTCGCCCGGCCAATTTCTGAACCCCTGGTCGCATTGATCTCACATTCGATTCTTCCCAGCCCCCCACTCGGCGCCAAATAATCTTCAATCCGATAGCAGCAGAACCACAAAGTCCACACTCCCCGCGGTTGTCGCAGAGACCAAGTAGAGCAACCTCATCATCGCATCGCCGCTGTCGAATACACAAATCGTACACCAAGACTGAAGGAAACCCCACAGCCGAGATCGCACAGATTCTGTCAAGATGGCGCTCCGTCAATTCAAGGCGCCAGTAGCCTATGAAGCACAGCAGAGTATGCTCAACCCTTTGATGCTCTTGGCCTTGGCCTCTCCCGCACCGCCATCATGACCGTGCTGACCTGCAATAGATGCACTTGAATCCTTCCTCACAGACTTCAAGGCGTCCCCCGAGCAAACGATTTCGCATGCCCTCGGAAACATCACGATAGACGAGGATGACTTTAGCGACGATGAGGTGATGGAGGATGACCAGACTCGTGGCACCCGTCGCCAGGCCAGGAGTCCGCCTGGGCCGAAATACAAGGTTATGATGCAGAACCTGGCAGATCGCAAGATTGATGAGGTCTTGATTGACCTGGACGACTTGGCGAGTGTGAGTTGCACTGGCGGCCCCTATCAAGCCCGCGGACTGGGACTGACTCTCACAGTTCGAGACATCACTCGGCGATGAACTCCAGCTTGTTCACTCTATCGAAATTAACAC